AAGTGGCTATACCGTGGGGGAAAGCGGTATAGTCCTCGGAAAGAGCCGTGAGACAGTGGTGCTCGCTGGTGAGCCGCGGAGCTCGTGAGCACTATTAGTCGTGGTGGAGGGCTAGCGGGGCGGCCGCTCTCCGAACAACGAGAGTTGCAATTTCTTTTAGACTAAGTCGATTTGTTATAAATTCGCAACTCAACGGGGAAACCGCTTCCAATGGTACAGAAGCAAGGGCAGTGTTCCATCAACGTTGCCACTGCTGTGTTCATTATTGACATCTGCCCATAGGACCTCCTGCTCCCTACCGACAATTCACATACAACCCCCCCGCCCCTCCCCCTGCCCCATTGCAATTCGCAGCCTGTCTCATGGTGAGGCACCATATACTAGAAGCGTGCTAGCAAAGACTTCATCAACTCAAGAACTTCGAACATCTGCGCGAATTACCGCGTGGGATGAATTTTATAGGTTGCAGTATTCCCCCATTAACGAGAACAATCGAAAGATTCGCTAAGAATCCAGATTTCTTATAAAACTCCTTATCTTGACATTCCTTAGAACCTTGAAAGGTATCCTTGATCGCCCTTAGGACTGTCCTTCACTAGTGCACGCGCAATCAAGTCAACGGCAAATCTGAACCACATCTCCTTTCAGTACCAAGAAACCAAATACCTTATCACGGCCTCGTCCCCGAGTGAAATCTGCGATAATGGTGACGTTTTTCAGGAGATCGCCCATCGGGTAGTCCAGATTCCGTCCGTGGAAAATGGTTCCGTTTGCATTTTGTGCAACAATTGATGTACATCCCAGTTGCAAGATACTGAAAACTGAACTAGGTAAGTTCTAGGCAAGCCAAATTAGTGCTGAGAGAAAAGTTAGCGGTAAAACAACTCACTGTTTCCTATCAAAGGCTAAAATATCATAAAGAATATTCATTGACACCACAAGACCTAACGGCAATCCAGAGGCATTGGCAATTCCTGACCATCAAGCGGTTCTCAAATTTTCATCATATTTCTAGAAAAACGAGTTGATTTGCAGCTTACCTCGTATTTCTTCTGCATATTCATAGGGGAAGAAGAGGTTCAGCTTACCAGCAATCCAGAACGCAGCGGGTAATAGTTGCTTCGGCACATAATTCCTGCAAGTAAAATACATAATAGGATAGGAAATTTAACTTAACTTGGTTATAGAAGACTCCCTTGGACAAAGTAGTCCACTGCACAAGGTCGAAGATGTGATTAGTGGCTTGGGATTGCATAATAAGGATGCCAGCCACTCATGATGAGAGCAATGCTCCACCCACTGCCTCATACTAAGCACAATGTTCAACTCTATCGATCTTTAGTGTTGGGGTTATTTCACTGCTAGCTCTTTCCACTGGTGAAAGTGAAGCAAATCAAAAAACTGGTACCCTCATGATATAAACGAGGGAGAACTCATCCAAGAAGGTCCTCTTTTCGCTGCATGTACTGTTCGGCTAGGAGTTATCTGGAGCCTTCCTGGATTTTTCTCTTTCTAATTATTCAATTTATTACTAACTTTTCATCGGTAATTGTCCCCACCATTTTTCGTGGCGTGCATCACTTCGTATTTACTCCGGAGGCAAAGCAGACCTGTTGGCAGGTTACACTGACTCCACAAATGAGACCTCTAGCTGTGACTTCTTTTTTCGAACAAAAGTCATTTTCACACACTTGAATTGTTAACGATTTCGGATCTTATTTGTCAAGTCCCGAAGACTTTATTTTCAAAAAAGGGTGGCACATGTTCTTCTACTTTTACGTTCACTTTTTCACTTGATTTCAAGGTATCAAGTCCGTCTTGCTCCGCTTGCTTCGCAAAAGTCCACATTTCTACGCCATGTGGGAGCTGAAAGTAATTTTTTTAAGTGGGCACAAGAGTCAAAAAAAACGCCAGTGGTTGATGCGTCAGGTACTACATAAGTGGCCTGTACTTGTAGGGTAATCGTGTGACATACCACGAATTTTTATACAACGTTGTGGGGTCGGTCGTAGAGAAGTCAGTCACCAATTAGTGATAATTAATAATCAATAGAATTTTCCATTATTCAGAGCTGATAATATATAGTGGGTCTAGCATGCATGAAAATTGTGTCGCGACAAAAAGGGGCGGAGTTATCTGGGGGCGGGGCATGTAGTGTAGATATAATATAGTGTGAAGTGTGTAGAAAATGTGTCTAAAGGGCTCTTCGGGCAAAATTTTCTGAAAGAGCCATTTTAAACAAAATTTATGTGTAAGACTAAGTATGAGTAAGTAAACGCTAGAATTTTTTTAAA